TTAATACTTTTATTCAGCAAGGATCTATTAAACTGATACAAAGTGTTTTTTCTGTCTCGTGTCATTTGATTTTCTCTCTATAAAAAAAGTGGAAGACATTGATACTATTACAAAAAAATTCTACTCTTTTTGGCATTTTGTATTCATCAAATAATCCTGGCAAAAATAATGTATCATGTATTTCTAAAAAAAAAAAATTGCTTTAACATCATAGGAATAAATTACAAATTAAAATATATTAAAATAGAAAAAGAGTTATTTTTATTTGTAACAAGATTTACAGCCTGGGTGAGCATACAATTTATGAAAATCTTTCAAAAATATACAAAAATCTCACCAAACTTTTGAACAGAAGTGTATATGTACTTGCGTGCCCATTGCAGTAAACTGCAATAATCAAATTTTTTTGTAAAACTTCAAATAAATAGTGACAAGCACAATTTCACAGCTTCTACAAATACATTACAAGTACATACAGTTTCCAGTACATACAGTCTTACATTTATATAAATTTTAAACTAAATTTCGAAGAAAGTACAAAGCACAAATTATTTGAACATAAAGCCTGCATAACCTTCATATAGTGCAGCCACTATTAATACACCAGACCACAAAGTGGCACTGTTGGTACATTTTCCGAGCATAAATATTTAAATACTATTCCTGATGCAAAGCTATGAATGTGGTGGGAAAAAAAGTGTTAAGAACATGTCCACACAACTTATTCTGTCTTTATTAACTCAATAAACCACATACAGTAAGGTGCACTAACAAAATGTAAATATGTGCACCTTTCCAGGCACTCTATAGCTACGATCATGGGCCTGCGTCCAAACACAGGACAAGACAATCAACAGTAAAATTTTGGTTTTGAACAAGACGACGGCCCCAAAAGTCCTATAAATGCTCGGTCCTTTAAACAGAAGGATAATGCTTACATCCATAAAACACTGACTTTTACTGTGCTGGGAGAGTGTGAAGGGAGTAAGGCCTGATCACGGACAACAAATATCTGAGAAACACACACACACACCTGCTAAATCACTGCACATGACAGATTGCAAATGATGCCTAGTCTCACAAAAACTGCCAATAAATGACCAGGTCATATTTGCCCTCAAAATCAAGATGTATGAAAAAATCGTTCAGTGCAATTTTAAGTAAACATTCCCATACAAGAGCTCAACATTGCGAACATTTCACTCGCTTCTGCAACTAAAAATAGATGTGTGCAAACTGTAAAATGTATTTAGGAGCATGTGCAAATAAAAAAAAGTTGCTGCAAGTATTTAAAAAGTCTTAAATATCTTCAATTGTATAACAAACATCAATATCTTAAAAGGTCTTGGGGACAGAAAAAAAGAAATCATGATACAGGCTATTGTGATTGTTAAGCTTTAAAAGGTTCTTATTTCATTATGTAAATATGAACGCTGCAAAGTCTGTTCTGTTTGAGCTGCCTCCTCAGGAAAGAAAGATTGCAAACATTATTTAACACAGATTTTACAGCACAATAATCTGTTTATAACAGTATATAATTACTAATACAGTTTGAAGCGGAAATATTTAAAAACCTAGTGTACTTTCTGTGTTGTAAACGTCTGTTTGTGGCTCATTATGATACATTTTCAATGCCCCTTAAGAGATTTAACATGCTCCTAAATTGTTCAACTTAGGAGCACTGGTGTTCTTTGGGGGAAAAAAGTAAGAATCAAGCCCTGTGTATTATTTGTTATACTGAATTTAATTAATGTACTTTTTTAAATTGCTGTAATGAGAATTCAGGGGAAATCATGCTTAAATACCATGAACGTAATGTCACAATGCAAAATATCTTGTATGGTAGTTTGATCCTAAAATAATTTTCTTCATGCAAAATATAATATCTTTGTTTAGGGATTTAACCTGGACGTTACTTAATGAGAGCAGTCATAGGCAATAATACATATAGTTTTATGATAGGTTTTCAATTGTGTTTTGATCCTCACTCAAACATAAAAAAGCATTAAATGAGGAAGAACACTGTATACACATCAGTCACATTCACTTTATGATAAGTGGATAACATAGAGAGACCGTTAGTATAATAAGAGAGATATTATTGCTAATTGTGGAAATTGAAACACAGCTTGTCCTAAACATGACAAAGAGGTTTTCCCCTCATCAAACCAAGGATATAAACTACATAATTTCATAAATATACTGGAGCAGTGCAAATACATAGAGCTTAGATTTTGTACTGTTATCAGGTGACCAATAAAGATATGTTCACACTGACAGTGATTTGCAGCGACTAGAAATTCAAATTTATTTTTAAATGCAAGTTGGTGATTTCTGCGACATGAGCTGTAGACGACTTGGTGATGCGAGTTTATGCAAATATGCACCAACAATGCACTTGCATTGGTGTTTGCCGCATAGCAAAGTACTAGAAACCACGGTACAGCGACTTGCCAGCAATGAATCTGCATAGCTACAAATTTACCTGTTGTTAAATATTTCAAGAGAGAAGAGCAGGTCAAAATTACAGTACATCCCAAAAAGCACACAGTAAGAACATGCTTCTATGCGATGTGTGCGAGAACTACTACTACAGTGAGATTCAAACTGGCCAGGAGAAGACAAAACCACACCTACAATCAGTCAAGTTTGAAGTTTGATGCTCTTGGTGTGCATCCAAACACAGTGAAATGGCTGGTTTTTAAGGTCGAACTGTTTACAGCAAGAATATTAGGTCAACATTGTGAGAGTGTCATTTTCATCTTTACTGCTTCCATCAACACAAGCAGGTGATTTTCCCCTGCTAATGTTATGGCAGGTAGTTTACACATTTTTAAAACACTCACCATGAGTAACTATGTGTCTGGTAAACAGAGGGTGGTACCTTTGGGTTTCCAGATCTGGGGCTTTAAAAGAAGCATTCTGAATTGAATGATTTTTTTTTTTTAGATGATCCTGTGATTTATCTGTGAAAGGGACAGAAATGAAGGGAGGATTTGGGATGAGATGGGGTGTGATGCAGGTCCCAGGCCATAGAGGGTTCCCGAGGCTGCTACACGTTTGTCCGACATTTAGGAAAGATGGGTCCTCCTTCAAGCCTTCTCTTTCTTACTGCACACACAAATAAAAAGCGTTGATCAATTTTAAGGACATAAAAAATAATGAGGAAACTTTGGTTTCATTATAACAATCTATTAAGGGCTCAACAATAAGATTTTTCATTTTGTTTTGTTTTTTTAGACTTGTATTTGTCCTGCCAGCAATTTTACTGATCCCACATTGTTTTTTTTTAGTAAATTCATAAAACAGATTAAAATATATTTTTTTAAATAAAAAATTAATGTGCAATAATAACTGGAAATTACACATCCATAATGTAACTGCATGAAAGCTATGAATGTATGAATTCATACATGCACTTTTGCTTGAAAACAATACATTACTGATTACTTTTATGCTTCCAAGTCTATTATAAAAAAGACATTCTTACAATTTCTCACAAAACCTTTATGCTAGACATTGGGCAATCCTTACTGCATTCCAAAGACAGAAACGTGCAATTAAAGGTTATTCTCCTTTTGCATTCCATAGAAGAAAGTAAGGAAGGGGGGTCAAAGACAGAAACGTGCAATTAAAGGAATAGTTCACTCAGTTAAAAGAGCATGTGCTACTTTCATGGTGCTTTTTGCCTTTTTTGATACTTTTATTGAGACATTATGGTTATTCTCCTTTTGCATTCCATAGAAGAAAGTAAGGAAGGGGGGAGAGGGAGAGAGAGAGAGAGAGAGAGAGAGAGAGAGAGAGAGAACAGGGAACTAAATAATTTTTTGTGTGTGTGAACTATTCCTTAAAGAAAATGTTCTGCATGCACAGCAAGCCAGAGGGCATTTTCTAAAAAACCTAAAGAAAACACATAAGACAGCCAAACAACCAGCACAAAAGACAAACAAAACCAAGAAACAACCAGATAATGGAGAGAGACAGGTTTTGAATTCACTTTGACAGAAGGAAATGCAGTAGTGTAGATGCTGAAGTGGCAGAAGGGAGCTTGAGGAAAAGTACAAAAGTTCAAAATGATCCAGAGGCTTGAGGGATTGCAAGGAGACTAAAATGAGAGCGAAAAGACAGCAGGTAGTACCCAGAGCGAGACAAGGAGGGCAAGACGCTGTGTTTACTTGGGTTTTGATGTGAACTTGAACTTTTTACAGAAGGCTCTTTCCAGCTCAGGGACTGACAGAGTGAATGTGATCGCGCCATCTGAGTCCGACCGAACTACACGTGCTGGAAATACATACATGGCTTGAAAACACCAGTAGATACATACACCATTAATACTTTTATTCAGCAAGGCTGCATTAAATTGATCAGAAGTGACAAATTCCTATTTAACATAAAAGCTTTTCTTTTGAACTTTCTATTCATCAAAGAACCCTGAAAAAACAATTTCCATCAAAATATTACATATTTTTAAAGCTTTAATAAAATACTTCTGAAGGAACATGTGACTTCAACGTTATTTCACAGGAATAAATTACATTTTAAAACATTACAATTGAATTAAATGTATTAAAATGTTAATTCAAAACAGTTATTTTAAATTGTAATAATATTTCACAATTTTATTATTTTTAACTCAAAAATCACTCAAAAATCTCCCCGATCCCCAAACTTTTGAATGGTAGTGTACCTATTTCGGCAAAACCAGCACACAAACACATTAATGCAAATTTCGACAAATATACAGAGTCAACAACACTCTATGTTAATTCTGAAATGCACATACAAATACAAAATTTGACTGCATCTATCTCAGCATGCGTGTTTCTTACCCAGGTCATTGTTGTTCATCATGGCATTAGATCCACGCAAGCGTGGGCCCTGCTGGGCGAAGTGGTATCCGAACTTCAGCAGAGTAGTGTTCTTCTCCAAAATGTTAGCTATCTCCATCTCAACCTTATTACCCAAAGGCTGGCTCTGTATTGCACATAAACACACAGGATATAACAACTTTTCCTATGCCCCTCCATCATCCCTACATTCAGACTGAACCCCTGACCTCAAGGATAATGGCTCAGACCTCATACGACCTTATTATTTGTATGTGTGTGTGTGTGTGTGTGAATGAGTGTACCTGGTTGTCAATCTTTAGCTCCTGCAGTGTAGTGTTGCTCTTTAAAGATTCCACGAGTGCCAGAATTCCAGCTCCAGTAATGAAGTTTGACTCAACGTTTAGACTCTTCAGAGTGGTGTTCACTTTCAGCATGTCTGCTAGTGCCTGGGAACCAAACAACATTACACGCGGTTTAATAACTACACTACCGTTCAAAATTAAAAATCTTGAAAACAGTTACTTAATATTTTTGTGGAAACCATGATACATGATTTCAGGACTCTTAGAATTTCAGAAGAACAGCATTTATTTGAAAAAGAAATCTACTGATCACTTTAATGCATTCTTGCTGAATAAAATATTTACTAAGCACAAATGTTTGAATGGTAGTGTACTTAAATATCACGAAATAAGTATTAGAATGTATTCACCCCAAAATATTTTAAAAAATAGTTTTTTTTTTTTTATAAAAGTCTGCATAAATTAAACACTACTTTCTTGCATTAAAAGTAATGAAAATGTGTAATATATATATATATATATTTCTAAAAATAGGCTGCATTTTCTTCATGGAAAATAACTTTTTACATTTATTTTACATTATTGGAAAAATGCTTCTTTATGTAACTCACAAAGGCCACAGGATCGTTACTTCTGGTGCCAACGATGCTCAGGCGTTCCACAACACTGTTCCCTTTGAGAGCTTCAGCATACGCTTTCAGAGTTGGGATTGGAATATTCTACAGATCACCAAAAACAAAAAAAAAGCAGAGGATGCAACCATCAAAACTGCAGGCTACCAGACATGTGAAGACACTATCCAACTAAAGTCTACCCTATTTGTGGAACATGCCATGGAATACCACATAGCAGAGGATGCAACCATCAAAACTGCAGGCTACCAGACATGTGAAGACACTATCCAACAGAGAGAGTACAGTATAAATAAATGAGTTAAAGTGGCACCCTAATGTTGTTTAGGTTGACCTCAACAAGGTCTGGATCATTTCTCTTGATTCTCTGTAGTGTTTCCTCTACATCTGTGTCATTGGGCTGTTCGTCTGGCACAGGCTTATACTGAGTACACTGGATTACACCTGTGTGTACATAATACAACTTTGAGTTACAACAAATCATATGGTTCAGTGCTAGCTGTTATATAACACAACACTATATCACATTGTAAAATTCAACACCGTCTATTCCCAAGCTACACTTACAATTGTATGGCATTGCATTATTTTTTGTTCACATTTTACATTAATTTACATTTATTTGAAGATTAATTTGACATTCAGGCATGTTTAAAGGAATAGTTCACCCAAAAATCACAATTAGTTAAAAATGTCCTCACATCCAAGATGTAGATAAGTTTGTTTCTTTATCATCTGTGTGTGTGGGTTTCGATATGTAGCACATATCACACAAAGCTAGATTATTGTCGCTTGTATCCTCGTTTCACATTCCAGACTTTGCTGAAGAAGTCTTTGAAGATCTGAATGTGATGTCCTTTGTGTACTACTAGATACACGAGGATGGTGGCCAGGACTTTTGCAAAGTGACATTCCCTCTGTATATTTTTGGAAGTGTGTTGAGGCATGGAGTGGCCTCCCCGGGACAGAGGCAGCATTACTGTGACCAACCCATGAATTATTTCTGTTCCTGCTAGGATGCTCTGCAGCGTTACTGTTTTTAATTCAGTGGACAGGACTTCTTTCAGTGGTTGGATAGACACTTCATCTGATATTTTTCTCTGATGCTCTGGGGTGTGTTTGTGTGCCTCCAAGTTACTTGACCTGCTGTGGTGAATTTAATATTTAGAAGTTAACTTTGTTTTGCTGAGTTGGTTGGGCTTTTTTGACGTTTCTCATATTTTTTTTTTCACCAAATATACATTAAAATTCAACCGTTTGAGTTAATACTTTTATTAGCAAGAATGCATTAATTGGATCAAAAGTGTCAAAGTTTAAAAAAAAAAAGACATTTAACTTTGTAATTTCAGTTCATTAAAGAATCCTGAAAATATGCATTGCGGTTATCACAAAAACAACAACAACAAATATTAAGCTTGACACAAAAATATATTTCAACACTGATAATAATAAGAAATGTTTCTTGAGCACCAAATCAGCATATTAGAATGATTTCTGAAGGATCATGTGACACTGAAGACTGGAGTAACGATGCTGAAAATTCAGCTTTGCCCTCGCCAGGAATAAATTAAATTTTCAAATATATTAGAATAGAAAAGTTATTTTGTTCTAATAATATTTCACAATATTGCTCTTTTTCTGTATTTTGATCAAATAAATGTAGCCTTGGTGAGCATAAGAGACTTCTTTCCGAAAATAAATAAATAAATAATAGTGTATTTGTCATTTTCTTCAATAAAAAGTGATAAGTTTAAAGTTTGTATAATTAGGTTTATCATATCATTTATCATAGCTGTTAAAGTCTGAGTACATCAAGCCTGAATACATTGTGTGATATACACTTTAAATAGTATATACGTGTATTTGTCATTTTCTTCAATAAAAAGTGATGTTTAAAGTTTGTATAATTAGGTTTATCATATCATTTATCATAGCTGTTAAAGTCTGAGTACATCAAGCCTGAATACATTGTGTGATATACACTTTAAATAGTATATACTTACATGTTCGCTTATTGTCGCGTTAATTAAACTATTTGGAAATATGAACTGTTGTATGGTTAGGAAATATAAATCATATTTTTGTACATAGTTTGTAGACAGTTTTTGTAATTGCATCCAATCATCATTTTTTTTAAAAACACACAATTTAAGTTGTTTGTAATTTATTTTCTCTATAGAAGTTTGATCTCTTTTCTGTTTGCAGGAGGCCCCCCTGATGTTGGTAAAATGCTGGGAGGAGAAGAGGATAAAGACCCTGAAGCAGAAAAAGAGAAGGAAGAGGAGAGACAGGAAGCTCTCAGACAGGAAGAGGACGAGAGGAAGGCCAAACACGCCAAGATGGAAGCAGAGCGGGAAGCCATAAGACAGGGCATCAGAGATAAGGTTAGAGACACCAACAGCTTCTGCTTTTGTCTCATCTGCTTTTTGGAAAAAGGATCATTAGCCATCCTTCTTGGCTCCCCAAAATGCTTAAAGTCAAATTTTCAAATCAATATTTTTTCATCTTGTTAAAGAGTCCATTCAAAAAGGGAAATTCTATCATCATTCACTCAGCCGCCTGTCAATCCAAACTTGAGTTCCCATTGAATTCATTAGTTTTCTGTAATTTAATGCCAATGTAATAAAAAAATTGTGTTATAAATGTACAATATTTTTTATAAAAATGTATAAGGTGTATATATATATATGAGCGAACCAGAACGAACTGTTGTATATGAGCAATATCACTCGAGCACTCGAGCGATACCGGCTCTATATCAGCATGGCTGTGATTAGGCCAGAGGCAATCACAGCCGCTGATATAGGGCCGGTATTGCTCTAACTGATGTATTCACTTACTGTTCAAGCCCTGTTTGTTGACGATAGTACTGCTGGCCAATGCTTCGTAATACTGCTGATTACTCATCAGTGTGTGCATGCCCAAAATGGCTTTTCAAATTTAGAAAGAGGGGGAAAAAACAGAATAAGTTGGATGAAGCTGAAGATAAAAAGGGAGCCAAGTCTATATTTTACCCTGCTTATCATGTTAGTCAAGTTTTCTTACAGTATACAAAACACAGGACTTTATATGGCCATTGGCCATCCTCCATCCTGCTGAATGAAATATATTACTTGTTTATGTAAATCATTCGTAAAATCATGTTTTCCAAGATTATTTGGAACTCAAAATCATTTACCTGACGAAAAAAATATCAAGTAGAACAGTAATGCCATCAAATGAACTAGTGCAGAACAAAAAATTAAAATGAACAGCAAAACATCTGAATAGGGAGTCGAGAGGAAAGTGCAATTTATGAGTCTGGCTTATATACTGCATCTAATTGTTGACCCTGGGCCAAAGACAACTGAGCTAACCTCATTCCCATATGAAGCTCCTATCTGTCTGTACATATAAGCTGTTCAGAATGGGTCGACTCCTTAAATCCTGCTGTTTTTGAAACACGATCCCAAAGAAAAAAAAAGTATTGACCTCATTTTAAGGGAAACCTCTCCATCATGCTAAATGAGAGCAAGTTAATGGCTGATGGTCGGGAGGATTTTTTTTTTTAGCCAGCAGGAAAATCTTTGTTCCCCTTTTTTGGTAGCCATGTGTCTTTAGCGCACATGGATGAGTCACTGTTATGAAAGAACTCAAACTTGCATATGCAGTTTCAGGAAATGGCATGTGCACGCTACACAGAGTTCGCCTAAAAATAAAAATGAATTATTTATCCTGTTGTTCCATGATTTAGAGATTTTGAAGAATTTTGCTGCTCTTTGTGGTGTCTCAACAGAGAAATGATTGAAAGCAACATGACAGTTTTCATTTTTGGTTAAAATAACTCAGATAACAATGTGCTGACCATGCAAATACTGAATTAATGTTTAAGAAACATTCTGGCAATGTTAAAGCAGCATACAATGTTGCAGATAAACCTACTGGAATGATCCGTGGCTTAGAAACGGTGGAGCAGGGGAGTGGACAGAGAAAATGAGGAATGAAGATGTAAAAATGGAGTGGAGAAAACTAAAGGACAGACCAGAGAGAGGCACACGGTGAGATACACACACACACACACACACACACACACACACACACACACACACACACAGAGAA